AATTGAATAATATTGATAATTTTCCTCGTGTTATCTGAAATATCACGACCTGGAATAAATCCAGTCTGATCAGGGTCTATATAAGTACTGATCAGTTTATTGGGTCTGTTTGCTAGCGTTGTTGTCAAAATCTTACAATCTGTATTTAAAAGCGAAATGGGCCTGTATGAGCTTGGGAAGTGAGGGTCTTTCCCTTTTTTAGGAATGATTTTAGCCACATTCCACGTGGGAGGCATTGTACCTGTTTGTATTGTAGTATTGCAAATTTCCATTAGAAATGGTGCAATTAGCTGGCTATATTTCTTATAGAATTCGGCTGTGAAGTCGTCTGTGCCCGGAGTTTTGTTATTTTTAAGCATCTTTATTGTATTTTGGATTTCCTGGAGTGATATTGGTTGGTCCAAGAATTCTTTATGGTGGTCTGATAAAGTTTTTGGTAAAGGGTATTTGTTAAAGAATTCTTCAGTTAAACTAGTCAGAGATTTTGTGAAAGTGTACAGTGTTTTATAAAAGTCTACAAAACTGTCTTTAATGTCTTTTGTAGTAAATTTTAAGGTTCCAGATTTATCTCTAATAGCTTGTATAGCGTTTTCTGTGTTTCCCCCCCGAACTTTCCAGGCCAAACACCTCGTAGCTCTTGGACCAGAAAACCAAAATTTTTGTTTAACATATAGGAGTTTCTTTTGAATTTTGGAAACTTCCAAGGCTTCTTGTTTTTCCCCGCTCAGTTAAAAGCTTTTGGTATATTTTTTTCTTGCAATGCTTTTTAAAAGCACTCTCTAATCTCTCAATATTGGCAGTAATTTGTTCTCTCACTTTCGCTTGTTCTTTCCTATAGGATATAATCTTGGCTATAATCTTCCCCCTAAGAACAGCTTTGAAAGCCTCCCAAGTTATATTTTACGGAGTACCACATGTGGAATTGAACTCAAAATATTCCTTTATGTCTTTTTCTAAAGCTTCTGCTATTGATGGTATTAATAAAAGTGTATTATCAAGTTTCCATACATGACTGCGTGGATTTTGTTCTTTGCATATAGCAAAATACGGGTGAATGGTCAGACCACAGCCTGACCCCTATGTCTGCTGTGGGGAATAGGTTACCAATACTGGTGGACACCAAAATAAAATATATGTGGGTATGAACGTTATGCTTCGCAGAATAATGTGTAATATTTGTCTTTTCCATGTCTTAATCTCCACAGGTCACTTAAATAAATTGATTAAGCAGAGATGGTAATTGAGTGTCAAAGTCTGAGATAGGTTTATTAAAAGGGGTCTGTCCCGATTTCACTCTAGACCTATCTAAGAAGGAGTTAGCAATTAAGTTAAGATCTCCTCCGATAATGTAGGGATCATCACTGAATTCTGCAAGTTTGGTAAAGGTGTCTTTCAAAAAGTCTGTTTGACTACTATTTGGGGCATAGAGAGAAACTAAGGTTAACCTCACTCCACTAATAGATCCTTTTAACAAAATGAATCTTCCTAATGGGTCTCTATAAATCTTTTCTACCTGGTATCTAATATTTCTATTAATTAGGATAGCAACCCCTCTAGATTTTGAGGAGCCTGCTGCTAAATATTGTTGAGAGAGTTTAGGGGAGGTGGACACTATTGTTTGCTTTTTGTTAAGATGGGTTTCTTGTAAAAATATTATTTCTGCCCCCTGTTTCATTAAGGCATTTATAGCACGTTTTCTTTAAATTAAATTGTTCAATCCTCTGCAATTCACAGAGGCAAATTTAATATTTGTAGACTCCATAATAATAGCCATAACGTTTGACATTATAATTCACATTATCAATATACTTGCAATCAATTAAACTCTTAATATAAAATACCACTTTGCCTAGTGTTGTTTGAAGTCTTGTCATTGATGCGAAAAAAGAACACTTAGAAACCTCCTGGAAACTTTGAGATCGCCCTTGCAGATTGAAAATTAGGTCTTTAAGACTATACAGAAAAACGTAAAGGTTAACCACCATTAACACACACAACTTGAACTCAAATGGAGCTAACAGCATGGTAAGACTATTTAGAAAAACTGAAAGATTAGCCATCATTAACACACACAACTTGAACTCAGATGGAGCTAACATCTTGGCTCCACTCTCCCTTACTACTGGGTATGTTTAGGAAAAATACCTTAACGTATTGAAAGAAATTCTTATCAGATTTAAGGTTAATAACTACTGGGCAACTACTGGGCCACCCCCCCCCTTACATTGGAAGATAAAAGCTTAAAAATTACAGTCTCCAGTTACATTTGTAAAGAAAACTATTAGTTCAGAAATTAAGTTGCTATGTGAAGCAAACAATAAGAAATGAGTAATCCAGGCATTGAAGTGCAAACTTATTCATCTAGTGCGTCGTCTTCTAGGTCTTCGCCAGCTGAATGTATTGTAAGGCTTTCCTTGCTGCTCTTCTTCCTGAGAATCTACTTCTGGAGGATCTAAATGTAAAGCCTTTAATAGTACAAGTCCTGAATCCAGATCCGAAGCATTCAGAACATGATCTTAGTACACTACTTGCAATCTGCAATAGGAGACCCACTTATACTTTATTTGGGCTTTTGTCAGTGTTGTGGTGATAGGCTTTAGCAAGTGCCTTTTAAGTAGTGTTTCTTGCGAAAGATCCTGCATCACCAGGATTTTGCTCTCCTTATACTTGATAAAGCCATTCTGTCTTGCAAGTGCCATTACAGTTTGTTTGGTACGTAAACTGGTAATCGTACTATTATGTCCCGTGGCCAGGCTCTAGATTGGCGCTGTATAAGGGGCCCCAATCTGTATGCATAATCTAGCAGTGGTGCAACCCCGGGTTCAGTTTGCATAACATTTGCTAGCCAGGAAGCAATAAAGACCGAGAGTTCTGCATTTTCCTCTACTTTTTCAGGAAGGCCTCTAAATTTGAGGTTATGGGCTCGAAATTAATTGTCCAAGGCAATTAGCTTCTCAGTGGCCCATTCTTCCCTCTTTAATAGGAATTTGGTGTCTTCTTGTGCAGCAAGGCCTGCTTCTAATGCAGAATCTACCGTGTGGGCCACCTTGTCTAATGACTTCTGAAAGTCTGCAAGTTGTTCTGTGAGTGGTTTGATCAGTTCAGCAGTAATCGAAGCCATATTTTTCTCTAGGCTTTGGAGCGTATTGAAAAATTATTCCCTTGTGACTGCTATTCCCTCTGCAGGGGAAACATCAGTCCCATCGGCCATTTTGGATTTTGCTGTGATTTCAAGGCCCGAGGGAGAGGGATTGCGTTGGGGCGGGGAAAAAGTTGAGACCGACCTTGTTTTCACTTTTGGCGCAACAGGGTGTTTTGTAGGCTTTCCCATGCTTGGAGTGCAAAATCACCGCTTTTGGAGGCTGCTTTTTGCTTGTAGGGGGGAGATTATCGGAGGAGCTGCGGTTTTAAGCATCCATTTGCAATCGCATGACGCCATGCCCCCCCAGAGCCACTTTTCTGAGTGAGATCAGGGCCCTGCGGGATCTGCTTCAGTTTTGCAGGGCCTGTAAAACGGAGATGTTCCACAGGGCCTTTGGTTGAGGCAATGGGTATCCCGTTTTTCTGGCATCCCCTGCTCCACCCATTGATCTGGTATGTTCAGTGACTGCTGGGGGTGATCACCCACTACCCATAGTTAGTCTTGGGCATTTTTATAGACCCATAGGAGCATGCTCCTAGGTTTACGGGCCATCTTGGTGTGATTAATTTTGTATAACTGTAGAACATTTAATTGTTTTATCTGTGTTTTAATTGTTGTGAGCCGCCCTGAGCCCTGCATGCAGAAAAGGACAGGATAAAAATCCAGTAAATAAACAAACAAACACTACCTTAATCTAATCCCATTTTCCTTATGCATACAGATTGAACAGATTGGGACTCAGTACACTTGTTAAATCCATACATTTCCTGGGGGAAACCTGCCTTAAAGTTTTCTTTTCCACAACTCTTTGAATCTGCTGCTTTGTCTTTGTGTTGTAACTGTGCCTGAAGAATGGGCACACAGTAATTACGGTGCCCTCTCTCAGCATGGATCTTGTTGTGTGGTTTAGCAGGTTAATATTGTTCCATCCTAGCATTGCAGCTGATGTGGTTCCATGAAAAGCGTCAGCTTTCCATGCCATGAATCTCTCTGGTTTGGCTGTTTTCTGCAATCTGCCTCTTGTTAAAAATCATGTGATGGGAGCGCATGCAGCCTTTGTTTTGTCAGCTATACCAGCTACTGGTTTGTTCCTGGGCCCAATGCAAGGTCCTATTTAAGCCTTTCGGGGTTCCTTAGAAATATGTTAACTCCCTTGCCATAGCCACTTATTAAATCAGGCTGAGGTTCACTTACTGTTGCATGCAGTATGAGCATCTGTTGCTAGAAGCAGGGCCCCAAAGCTGTGGAATTGCTCCTCTTTGCTTTCCTTTGATGGACTGCAAAAACCTTCATTTTTGTTGGGTCTCTGGAATTCCCTTAAAGAGACGTTTTTTGATGACTGATGTCTGTAATACTCCCTGTCTGGACTATATTATATGTGTCTGAATGTGATTTAATAATGTAATTCTTTTACATGTGTAGGGGTTAATCTAAAACACATTAGTGGAGTTATTTTTAGGGAAGAAGTCTTCTCTGTCTTCTGCAGCCCACCCACCACACCTGAATTGCTAATCCTGGGGCTGCAGCTTGACCGGAAAATTCACAGAAATCAAATTTCCCCCCTTCTGTGAGAGGAAGTGCCTTCCCATTGAAAGCTAAATAATAGCTGTTCAAAAAGTGGCATATTTTTAAACAACTTGTGATGGTGAAGGGTTTTCTTGATGGAAGGATGATTGATTGTAGGACATAAAAGTATATGGATTTTGAATTAGACCTCCTCAAAGGTCTGCTTTTGTAATCTACCTCTTGAACCTTCAATTCTCATTGTTGTTTTCTTTCTTTCACTCTAGCTGGAATGTGTGCTGCTTTCTTTCCCAGTTATTAAGAAGCAAGAGATTCAGAAGTTCAAAGCTGAAGGATGCCGTCTGAGGTGTGCCTCAGGTATTGTTCAAGGGGGCTGCTCCAGTCAGTTTTCATTTAGTGTGTTTCCATGTACTCAGTGCTCACCTAGAGGATGGCAGTGTGGCAAAATGCATTTCAAAATATTCCGCAAAATTGCATCAATATGACAGCGCCGGGGAATGTCCACAAAGTCTTGTTTTTGCAGTTGTGATAGGCTTTCACATGTATTCCCCATAGAAACATTGACTTAACCTATTAAATATTTGTTCCTTCTGTGTTTTCTCAGCTCATTTGCACATTGAGCACATTGACATAAAACAATCTGTTTTCCTGCTGGGGAGGGAGAAAGCAGATGACTGAGCATCCTTGTGTTGCTTCTCATAGATCAGCCACCAGATTGCCATTTAAACTTTGGCTACAGACTGTTTTTATCGTGGGTGATCATCAGTGCAGCAGAAAGAACAGTCAGATTTTTTTTTTTTTTGCCGAGCTTACTAAAAAGAAACAGAACAAGATTTGATTAAGGAATGAGCTTGCTGTCAAAGCTGCTATGATGGGAATAATGCACAGAATAAGAGGAGGTCATTTTTACAGGTCATTGATCTGATCTGTGGTTTTAAATACATCATAGGTGATTTTAAATGTTCTCTTTTTCAGAATTGTGTGAAGCTCCCCCCCATCTTAAGTCTTTTGGGAACAATTCATGTTAGACAACTGGACTTAGATTTTTTACATATTTGAAATGCATATATACCCCGCCTTTCTCACAGGCATCTGGTACCCTATTCAAAGCAGCCAGTAAATAAGAATAATAAAACATTTAAGAGAGCTATTACAACCAGCTACTAAAGACACAATAAGTCACAATCCATTTAGGAAAACAAGTTCTCATCCAGTGTCAGGAGATCCAGCCCTTTTAAAGTTCAAAGTTTATTTATTTGACGGCTTTCATTAGCTTATAATACAAAGAATAAAACTGAATACGCAGAATAAAATATGAGTTAAACTGGTATAATATATAATAAAATAATCCAACATTGGAATATAGGAATCATGGGGTAAGGATCAACTTCTCTCTACATACTGCAAGACAGGCTGCCCAAAACCTAGGCAGCAGCCTGAGAAAACTCTAAATCCACGGCCGAGAGAATAAAATGTTGAATCCAATCCAGACTAGTTACATAAATTTTACTCTGGATAGCAAAGAAAAGTTTCATGCACGGCTCCTCTTACCAGCCCTTTAAAAAAAGAAGAAGCTTTGCATATTTTGCAGAATTCCAACAAAGTTAAAGCCATCTGAAGTTCTGTAGGAGGTCTCATTCCAAAAGGCCAGGCTGACCACTTTCTTCCTAAGCAGTACTGTTCATAAATCTTCTTGCTGTAAGAGTCATTGCTTTAACTCCTCTGCTGTCCCTTTTTAAATCTTTTGTTTTCACCCCCTGTACATACAATGAATCTGGGCTCTGAACAACCATATATGTTGGCAAGTGACAATGCACACTACAATATCTGCTTTACGTGGATGCAGCTGTTAAGATAAAGACATTTTACAGATTTTCCCCCTTCCCAAACCCATTTTGAGTTGGAATGAAAAATTAAATAATGTCTATATTGTTAATCACTTGGGTGATATCTGGCACCACCTCCCTTGGGCCAGGGTCTGGGGCTGCTGACCAGTGTTCCCTCTAAGCTGAGTTAGTGTGAGCTAGCTCACAGTTTTTTAGCCTCCAGCTCACACATTTTTGTAGTCGCTCGGGAAGGATGGCTCCAGAGCAAACTAATTGATGCAGTAGCCAAATTGCTTGCTCACAACTTTAATGCCAGTAGCTCACAAAGTAGAATTTTTGCTCACAAGACTCCAGAGCTTAGAGGGAACATTGCTGCTGACCCTTCCAGTGGCCTTTCCTGAAAAACTCTGATGTCAACCACAGAGAGGAGGGGACTTTAGAAACACTGACAGCCCTCTCTCTCTTGCACACACCTCTCCATTGCCCACATGGGAGAGGCCTGGCTCTTCCTCCCTAACTTTTCCTGCTTCCACCTAATAAAGGGATTCCTGTGGGCAGAGCGGCCCCAGACTTACCCAGTACCCCTCAGACTGGGCCAGGGCTCTATGGGGCTGTGGTACACCCACCAATGACCTTCCCCCCCTTGCCATGCCCTTCCCCAATGTTTCATAACGCTAGCTTTCCTGGCTCGGTCAGCCCCAGGAAGGCAAGGCTGTTGCTGTCACGAGCCCGGCCTGCCAGCTGCCTTGCCTCTCTCTGGTGCTTGCTGAGCTCCAGTGTGTGCCAAACTGCACCTCCCAGCACAACACCTTTCCTGGCCTACCTGTCAATTTCTCTGGTGGACATGGGCACTAGGAAGTGCCTGGGTGTCCACATCATCGGGGTGCCTGCCCTGGCTATCCTGCTCCCCCCACTAGCTGGTTATTTGATTCCAGATCCCATATCTGCATGTTTTTAGTCCTGTGGCTTGAGATCTAGCTGATCCTCACAGCGAATTAGTAAAGTGCCTTTCCCAATGTAAATTGTCAATATGGTTTCTGTAGCACTTATAAAAGTTTAGTACACTGAACTGTAATTTTAGGAATGCATAGTTAGAAGTAAGTTGCATCAAAATTAATGAATTTTACTTTTGAGTAAGCAAGTTTTGGATTCTAAAAGTAATTTGCTGGTTATTGCTATATGCTTATAACAAAGAATTGGCTTTTGCTCTCAAATTACCATTTTAATCCTCATGTGGCCCATTATGTTCTAATTAGATAAATGGACTATCCTAACGGAATATTCCTGTATTTGTGAATTTATCGTTCTTAATCCCAAAATCCAAGGTGGGCAATAACAAATGTCAATGCCAATAACAATATGAAGCAGTTTGCTACTGTTTCCATTTTAAAGATGTGAAACTGAAATTGTAAAGTAGTGACAGCCGAGGGCTATATGGTGAATGAGGGGCAGAAGAGTGATTTTATCCTTGCCTTCTAGACTGAAGCCTATCATTATATAACTCTGAAGTAACAGAGATAAAAATATTAGTAAAAATAATTATCTTTTGATCTATGTCTGTGATACTGAGTGACCTATTAAAGTTGTAGCCCCGTGCTTACTCAGTTTGGATTTAATACTTACTAGCTTCTGAGGGGTGACATGGTTGAGGTTTATAAGATTATGCATGGGATAGAGTAGGTGGAGAAAGAAGTACTTTTCTCCCTTTCTCACAATACCAGAACTCGTGGGCACTCCATGAAATTGCTGAGCAGTTGGGTTAGAACGGATAAAAGGAAGTACTTCTTCACCCAAAGAGTGATTAACACATGGAATTCACTGCCACAGGAGGTGGTGGTGGCTATATGCATGGACGGCTTCAAGAGGGAATTAGATAAGCATATGGAGCAGAGGTTTATCAGTGGCTATTAGCCATGAGGTATAGATAGGAACTCTCAGTCTGGGACAAGTGATGCACTGTATTGTTGATGCTTGTGTAGGAGGGGCAACAGTGGGAGGGCTTCTAGTGTCCTGGACCCACTGCTGGACCTTCTTGATGGCACCTGGTATTTTTGGCCACTGTGTGACAGAGCATTGGACTAGATGGGCCATTGGCCTGATCCAACATTGGCTTCTCTTATGTTCTTATGTTCATCTGCAGATTTAGGGATCCAACAATTTGTCTATTGGTCTATATGTTTGAATCCTGCCTTTCCTCTAAGAAGCTCAGAATGGCATGCCCCGCAACTGTACTTGTGCTGGGTTAGGCTGAGAGGGGGTGACTAGTTCAAGATCATCCAGTGAGCTTCATGGCTGAGCAGGGATTTGAACCTGGGTCTCCTTGGTACATGACTCACACTCTAGCCATTATACAATACCGGCTGCCTCTAAATGTCAGTGTCTGAATTGTGATGCTATTGTAAATAATGTGTTTATTTTCTTATTTCATCTTTTGCAGTATTCAAGATATGCTGACTGGCCAGAGGCTCTGCCAGTCCAGCTCTCATAATGATGCTGTCTTGGCTGCCCTCAACCAGCAAAGAAGTGACGGAATCCTCTGTGATATAACACTTGTTGCAGAGGAACAGAAATTCCATGCCCACAAGGCAGTGCTGGCAGCATGCAGTGACTACTTCAGAGTAAGTTAATGTAATAATGTACTTAAGTTGGAAGATGTTGAGTATGTACAAGAGACTAAAATCAGTTTGTTTTGAAGCTATTAAAACCATTGGATAATAACAACAACCATGGTATATTTTTGTTCCTGCCAGTGTGACCAAATGTCAATGTGGATTTTCACAGGAGTATTAGAGAGGATCCAGCCTCTCTCCTGCCACTCCACTGAGCAAAGTTTGAAGCCTTTCTCCAGCCCAAGGAGACTTCTGTCCAATTTAAGGATGGTTGGATCCACCCCATTGTCTTTCTGCTATTCAGCTTTTGTGTGTTTACTTTATTGTGGTGGAGGGATATACATCGGTCTGTTGAAGGTTGTACCTAGATTTATACAGGTTTTGATTTGCATCCACCACTTTTGACCAGTCATGCAAGGTTACTCAAGGAATGAAGTATAGGAGTAACCAAAGAGACTCGTTGTGCTGGGAGAATTGCCATATAGTAGCTGCATCGTATCAGTCTGCATTTCATTTGTTTGTCTGAACTCAGCAACTGCCTTGGTACTCATGTTCACCTGCCAGTAGTGGTGTGTGAGTAATTTCACTGCAGCTTCTTCAAGTTTTCCAGCTGCCTGGAGGAAAAAAAATGTCTTGGTTAACAGAAGGCTTAATAGAGGCTTAATAGAATGTTATTTACCAAGTGGTGTTATTTACCTCAATGTGATGAAAAAGCTTTAGCTGCCAATTTATACACATAAGCCTCTATTAAAGGGACGGGACGGTTTCCATCCAGGCAAAATGGCAAGCCTGCTTCCTATGCTACTCAAAATTGTGTCCATTAAGAAACGATGTGGGTGAGCCCTGACCCCGGATAGCCCAGGCAAGCCAGATCTTATTAGATCTCGGAAGCTAAGCAGGGCCAACCCTGGCAAGAAATTGGGTGGGAGACCTCCAAGGACTACCAGGGCTGGGATGCAGAGGCAGGAAATAGCAAGCCACCTTTCTGAAATATCCTAGTCCCACTAAGGGTCGCCAGAAGTCAACCATGACTTCCAGGCACACGTGCGCTGGCGCACACACACACACACACACACACACAATACTCACCAAAAAAAGAGAAACTACATGGGTGTGGCTTTCCCATGCCAGAAGTGAGGTTGATGGTTACATGAAAAGAGAGAGATTCATTGTTGTTCTGCCTTCATTGTTTCTTTCTTCTTTTTTTTAAAACAATTTTTATTTAGGATTTCATCACTCAAAATCAACATTTTCCCTCCTCCCTCCCCCCCCAATGGCTTCCCACAGTGCTACAACCTCCTGCAAAATTCTTAGATTCCTTCTTCCTTCCCTTTATCATTATAAGTTCAATAGGTAACTAATCTCTTCATATATAAATTTCTCTATTTCGTATTCCATATTGTTAAACTTTAACACTCAACAATTATTAAAGCAAAACAAGTTGTCTCTTACATCCCAGTTCTTCTCTAAATAGTCTTTTAAATCTTTCCAATCTGCTAAAAAGTCTTCTGCTTCCATATTGTTAAATTCTCTTGTCATCTTGTCCATTTCAACCATAAAAAGTAATTTTTTAATCCAATCTCCAATCTCCGGGACTTTATCTTGCTTCCAACTTTGAGCATATGTCATTCTGGCAGTTGTAATCATATACTAGAAATATGAATGGTTTGGAATAAAATGATTAATGGCTTCATGGATCATTTGAATTGAAGAAGAATGAAGAATGTAGTCTCAGTGATTTGATCTACCTTGATATTTTAGTTCAGTACAGCCAGACTGACCCTGTTGCATCTTGGTATAAGGATTTTACTTAGCTTAGTTCTTGTTGATGTTTTACCTTTCCTGTTTGTTCTGCAACAATTACTTTACAGCGTAATTATTTCAATTTTTATTTTATTCCCCCCCCTCCTCATTGTACTCAGTTTTGCAAATCTACACCAAGATCCTATTTCCTACTCTTCTAATTATTCTCTTTTCCTTTATTATCTTCCCAGTGTCCACGACTTTTAAGTACCCTTGGCAGCTGATCACAGTTTGTGGTTGCCAGGGCACAATGTTACAGGTGAGATGGGATCCTGTTCAAACAACTTCAAGAGTTTTTGTTGCTTTCCAAGCATTTCCAAAACCTCAGTCCCATCCTTCTTTCTTGGGGTATTTGCTAGGTCAACAGAAATGGTTACCCCGGTGATGTGGCAGAATCACATTTTTGAAACCCTGTGTATCTGGCTGCCCCCCAGACTTTTCCCACTGAGGTTTCTGAAACAGCTTTAAAAAGCTGCCCTCAGCTGCTGTTTTTCCTTCTCACCTTCTAGACTTCATAACCAAGATGTGGATCCATCATAATCACTAGCTACCCCTTCTCTTTTTTTGGAAATCTGTCCTCTTATTCCCATCTGTCTAGATAGCATTTTACTTGGCTCTTTATAGCTGTAGTCATTAGTCTTTGTTCTTTAAAACTCATTCCAGCTTCTAACTGCTGTTTTTCTAGTCCTGCCCACCTCTTTTTCTGATATAGATTCTTGTTTTCTTTTAGTAGTTCCATCTTTCTGTCTGCATATCATAATATTACAAGTGGAGACACGCAAGAAACTTGCGAGATGGTTATCCTATTCCTCACGCCTTGGCTTCCTCCTGTCTCCCCTACCTCTCTCACACTTTTTCTCCCTTCTGCCCCCCTTTCTTTCTCTCTCTCCTCCATGTATGGTTTGGAGGGTGGAGTGTATGGCATTATACTGGTCTGTAGTTTCTCCCCTCCTCAAATCCCACCCTCCCCAGGCTCCACCCCTCAAATGTCCAGGAATTTGCCAACCTGGAGTTGGCAACACAATTTCCTTCCCACCCAACAGCCAACCTACCTTTATCTGCCTCTCTGTCTTCAACTTTCCATCTCCACACTCCTCCCCCACAGCCTCTACCTAGGAAAGTTACAGTCTTTCTCCACAGTGGGGACCAAAGCAGCTTACATTATTCTCTCCTCCTTTTTATCTGCACAACAACCCTGTGAGGTTGGCTAGGCTGAAAGCATGTGACTGGTCCAAAATCACCCAGTCAGCTTCCACCGCAAGATGGGGATCTGAACCTGGGTCTCGCAGACCCTAATCTGAA